CCCCCCGCCCCCCCCTCTCTCTCTCCCCCCCCCCCCCCCCCGTGCCAGGGCAGAGCACACACGGAGCAACAAGATGGCAGCCAACATGTACCGGGTCGGAGGTGGGTACCGGGGCCGGTTGGCGGGAAGGGAAGGGCGGGAGGCGGCTTCTCCTCAGTTGTTGTTGAGGCTCCTGGTTCCCGGTCACTCACCCTCTTCCCCCCTCTCTCTCTCTCTCTCTCTCCCTCACTCTCCCCCTCTCTCCCTCCCTCCTCCTCCTCTCTCTCTCTCTCTCTCTGGCACCCCGCTGTGTGTGTGTGTGTGTGTGTGTGTGAGGGAGGGAGGGAGTGCGAGAGGCCGGGGCCTGAGGCCTGGTCAGCCACTCACTCACTCACAGCGGACACCAGACGCTCTCTCTCTCTATTTATTATTATTATTATTATCTCTCTCTCCCCCCTCTCGCTATCTCTCCCTATCTCCCCCTCTCTATCTCCTACCCCCCCCACCTCTCTCTCCCTCTCTCGCTATCTCTCTCTCCCCCTCTCTATCTCCCTCCCCCTCTCTATCTCCCCCTTTCTCTCCCCCTCTCTATCTCTCTTCCACTCTCCATCTCTCTCCCCTCCTCTCTATACCCACTTAGTATTATTATCTATATCTCTCTCTCCCTCTCTCTGTATCTCTCTCCCACTATCTGTCTCCCTTTCTGCCTATAATCTCTCTCTCCATCTATCTCCCTCCCTCTGTGTATATATATATATATATTGTTTCACCCACTAAACACACGGTCACTGCACTTTACAGCGTATCCTGTGAAACGCTCTTGAGACGCCTCGAAAAAGCGATGCACTGTAAAGTGTAGTGACTGTATGTTTGTGGGCGAAATGCGGCAGCGAATTGGGCAACAGCGACGTCCCCGCGCGCACGCGCTGGTGGATCGAAGTGGCCAAATTTATTATAATCCATATTATAACAGCAGTGTCCCACAAACAGCCGAGGAGTGAGGTGGTGGGACATTGTCAGCAGGAAGCAGGACCCCGATTATCCGTTGATCGGCGGATCGCTTCCAGGGGTAATAATCCCTTCACAAAAATAATAATTTGGTCGCTCAACCAGGACTGTTTGTGGGACGGGCAGCAGTGTGATGGCATTCTGCACTCATTTCCCCAGGGAGGTGCGAGCACACTCCCTTCCTGCCGAGGACTTCATCCCAGCCTTGACCTCGCCACATTCGGGGGTTTACTCGAGTGCAGAAGGGAAGTTGCAGCCCACTAGTGGAGGAGGGAAAAAGTGTCAGGTCCTCCGTGGAGAGAGAGAGAGAGAGAGAGAGGGGGGGGGGGGCATGTTACTTACTGCCACTTATTCCCGCAACTGGGTACTGTCACCCATTTTGTCCACACGTCACTGGTAAATGAGTCAATTATGTTGACTTTTTGTTCAGTGGTCGGGCTGTTCAGAAGTGGTACGTGTGATACCAACCTGCCTGAAATATTGGTTTTGAGGTTTATTATTGTGGAGTCCTGTAGCTCAGTGGTTAGAGCACTCGCCTGGTAAGCGAAATGTTGGGCAAGTTTCCTTCCTCCACCTCTTATTCGCCTCTGTTTACCCAGCAGTAAGTAGGAACCCGGTTGTTAGTCGATTGGCTGATCTCTTTCCGGGGGGTAATAATCCCTTCTGGGAAAAAAAATAATTTGGTGGCTCAATCCACGACTGTTTGTGGTCTGTTATAGGCATCGGCCGCCGTGTTTCATCCACAGAATATACAGTCAATTCACTTTACTGGGAAGCGCTTTGAGATGTTTCGAAGGTGTGATAGGGCTCTGTATCAAATGCAAGGATTAATATTATTATTATAATCGAGGAACAAAAGGCTTTTCCATCTCCTCTAACTCACTACTCCACATTCCATGGCCATGCCCACCACACCCAACCCTACTTTCCTTACATTATGTGCATACTTCTATTTCCTGAGTTTTCCATCAAACTTTTCAAACCCTTGTTCAATTTCCCTTGTTTACTTATATAATTTCCGGCAGAGCGAAACATTGGGCAAGTTTCCTTACTCCACAAGCCTCTGTTTCCCCAGCAGTACGAAGGAACCCGGCTGTTAGTCGATTGTTTGATCGCTTTTCTGGGGGTTACAATCCCTTCAAAAAAAAAGTCACTCAATCCACGACTGTTTGTGGGGACCAACAAAATATAGTCAATTCGCTTTACAGTGAAGCGCTTTGAGACATCTCAAAGACGTGATGAGGCGCTGTATCAAATGAACGATTCTTGTACTGTAGAGTGAATTGATTGTATATGTTGTGGGCGAAACGCGGCAGCCAATAGCACACAGCGGTGTCCCACAAACAGTCATGGATTCAGTGATCAAATTATTTTTATTTTTAATAATTTTTCTTACGGGTTTATTACCCCCGGAAAAATGATCCGTCAATCGACTAATAACTGGGTACCTACATACTGCTACGCAAGGAGACTTGCCTATGATTTTGCCTTGAATCGAACCCTGGTCCTCTTGCCTACAAGGCGAGCGCTCTTACCATTGTGCTGCGGGACTCCACTCTTTCCCAAATCCCTTTATATCTCCATTCCATTCGAATCGACTTGGCTTTAATAGCCTCTTGCGTTCCCCATTCTGATAGACACCAATGCAAGGGTTATTATATTATAAACAACATTTGCTGCACAGAAGGGTGCCATTGTACACTAACTGCATAAAAGACATTTATTTTAACCTTCCTGCCTCATAGTAACTTTGAGTTGAAGCTCCTTTGTTGCTGATTGACCAGCCAGTGGCAATAATCTCAGTGTTTACCTTCCCAATCCCCTTTTAGTTACGAACACCCTTAACCTCCTCTATTCCAGTGAACACAGTCTCAATTTTCTAAGCTTTCATTATAATTATATCCTCTCCTCCCTGGTATCATCCTAGTGAATCTGTGTTGCACCCCCTCCGTAGATGTGTCTGATATCCTTTGAGGTTCAAGTGCACTGTAAACTGCTTAAGCCTTGGGTTTATGTTTTGACATCATCTGAATCTGGGATTAGTTGCTAGCACTATAGTTGCTGGCCAGAACCACTGACATTGAACCCACTGTAGTAGAAATGCAGACTTTCAGCGCACAATAACAACAATAATCCTGGCATTTGATACGGCGCCTTATCACGTCTTCGAGACGTCTCAAAGCGCTTCACGTGATGCACTGCAAAGTGAATTGACTGTATATTTTGTGAGCAAACCATGGTCACCCATCTTAAACGTGGTATTGGGTTTCTGCATGTGTCAGTCAGATACTTGGCTGACCAAAGAAATATAGTTGGTTGGTGCGTGAGGTCATTAACACGGTTTACGAACAGCCAGTTCTCTCGTAATCTGTTAATCGCTGCACTTAAAGCCTGTTACCAATAAAATGCTTTTCCTTACGTTTGATTCAGAGCACAATTAATTCCATAGTTGCCAATAATTTTATTTTCAGACTATGTCTACTTCGAGAATTCATCGAGCAACCCTTTCCTAATCCGAAGGATAGAGGAACTGAACAAGGTAAGCAAGCAATTTTCTTTTACACGCACTCAGTATTTTTTTCGCCCAGGCTTTTGAAGCGAAGGTAAATACCTAATCCCACAGTAATGTGAGTGGTGTTTGATACAGCGCCTTATCACGTCGTTGACACGTCTCGAAGCGCTTTAGAGGATATACTGTAAAGTGCAGTGACTGTGTATGTCGTGGGAGAGAAAAGGCAGGCAATCGCGCCCAGCAGCGTCCCACAACAGTCATGGAGTGAGTGACCACATTTTTTTTGGAGGGACTATTATCCCCGGAAAGCGATCCACCAATTGACTGACAAGCGGGTTCCTACTGACTGCTGGTAAAGAGAGGTGTGTGTGTGTGGAGTAAGGAAACTTGCCTCAAGTTTCGTCCTAACCGGGAATTGAACCCAGGTTCTCTCGCTTGTGAGGCGAGTGCTCTTAACCACTACACTATACGACTCCCATGTTGCCTGCGAATGTGCCTGTTACCGCTGTGCTTTTGGGAGCACATGGATGGTTGAAATGTTTGGATTCAACTTCAGATTGTGAACGTTTACAGAATGAATGAATTTAAACCTGATTGCTGTGTCTACAGCAAGTGCTCCTTCACAATCATAGAATCTTACAGCACAAAAGGAGGCCATTCGGCCCATTTTGCCTGTGACGGCTCTTTGAAAGAGCTACCAACTAGTCCCTACTCCCTCCCCTCCCGCTCTTACCCCAACTGGTCCCTCACTCCCCCCGGTCTTACCCCAACTCGTCCCCACTCCCCCCGGTCTTACCCCAACTAGCTCCACTCCTCTCGCTATTACCCCATAGTCCTGCACATTGTACCTTTTCAAGTCCCTATCCAATTCCCTTTTAGAAAGCTACTATCAAATCTGCTCCCACCAGCCTTTCAGGCCGTGGGTTCCAGACCGTAACAACTCTCGGGTAAAAGAAAATGTCTCCTCGTCTGGTCTCCCCTGTGGTTCTTTTGCCGATTATTTGTGGCTATTTCTAAAAATCCTGGTAAATAGCCTTACTTCCCTCTGTCAGAGAGTGTGAAACTTCCACTTGCCTTCAGAGTTTCCAGAGTAGTAACTCTGTGTAACGCTGTTAAGTTAACGCAGCTGTAGGTTTTCTAATAGCTTCTCCGAGCTGCTTTGCATACTGAGCACCCTTTGATCTCCCGGTTAATAGCTGGAACAGATGGAGTCTTGTGCTCCTGGCTGCCTATAGTGATGCCAGGAGTCTGCCCTAGGCACAACGGTGTCTGTGGAAGAACCCATTTTGTCACCCCCCGCATCTCCCACTTCTATATTGACTCTTGTCACCGGTAGCTACCAGCTGCAGTTTAAACTGGGCTCAATCATAACTGTGGAGCCCTGTAGCTCAGTGGTCAGAGCACTCGCCTCGCAAGCGAGAGGACCTGGGTTTGATTCCCGGCAGGGTGAACCATTGGACAAGTTTCACACACGCCTCTGTTTACCCAGCGGTAAGGAGGAACCCGGTTGTTAGTCGATTGGTGGATCGCTTTTCCGGGGGTAATAATCCCTTCCAAAAGAAGGAATCATAATAAATTGGTCACTTCAATCCACGACTGTTTGTCGGACACTCCTGTCCGTAATTGGCTACCGAGTTTCTCCCACAAAACATTATTATTATTATAAACCGCACGGCAGAATTCCTGGGGTTGAACTGTTTTCTTATGTGCAGAGAAAGTTCAGTCTCAAACTCTAGTAGTAGTAAATAAAGTTGGTTCCTGAGCCGGGAGGGGCCGCAGTGTCCCGGGGCACTCACTGCTGATGGCAGCACAGCCCGGCCCGGCTCATCGGCAGGACCTGGAAGGGCCGATCAGTCCCTGGGGGCCGGGAATCCTCCCCCTCAGCTCCTGGTAACCCCACAGCCAAAGCCCCAACTAACTAGCGGGGAGGGGGGTTCCTAGCTGGAAAAGCAGAGGGAAAGCTCGGCCGGACAGCGCTCTCAATGGCCAAGCTATGGTGGCTTTAGCTGATTAGACTCCAGCAGTTACCCCAACACACTCTGCCCCCCCCCAAGCCTTGGCTCTTGCCAACCAGCGCCTAATACTCTCCAGAATTAGGTAAGCAGGGGGCGTCCCTCCAGGGAGCGAGAGAGAGAGAGAGCGCGCATTCCATCCTAACAATTTATCTAGAATTTCCATGTGTAGGGGGGGATGCATTTGACAGACATGCGGCTGGCCAAGAAATAGTACACAAATAATAATAATCCTTGCATTTGATAGAGCACATTATCACATCTTCGAGACGTTTCAAAGCGCTTCACAGAATATAACTGTAAAGTGAATTGACTTGTAAGTTTTGTGGGTGAAACGCTGCAGCCAATTGCACGCAGCAGTGACCACAAACAGTCAGTGTTTGAGTAACCAATTCATCAATATTATTTTTTTTGGAAGGAATTATTACCCGGGTAAATAACCTCCGTTGTCTTTGTGTTTTTGACGATTTGCAGACTGCGAATGGAAATGTCGAGGCAAAAGTGGTTTGTTTCTACAGAAGGCGGGACATCCCGAGCACCCTTATTGGACTCGCAGACAAACACGCAAGTAAGTTTTGGGGGCGTGAATCCCTTTTAATCAACAATAGCAACACATCACATTTACACACGGTCGAAGAGGAGGGTCTTGAGTCCAGCCTTGGAGGAGGCAACCAGCCGGAGTCAGCCGAGTGGAGGCAGCAGGTTGTGGGTTGAGGGGTAAGCAGGTCAGAGACTTAAAGGGGTGCCAGGGCGTGAAGGGATTTGTAAACGAGTGAGAAGAACTTGAAATTGATCTGTGATAGGGAGCCAGTGGAGGCTGGCGAGGGCTGGGGGTGATGGGGGGACGGGGTTCAGTGTGTGTGATAGGGAGCCAGTGGAGGCTGGCGAGGGCTGGGGTGATGGGGGACGGGGGTTAGTGTGTGTGATAGGGAGCCAGTGGGGCCTGGCGAGGGTGGGGGTGATGGGGGACGGGGTTCAGTGTGTGTGATAGGGAGCCAGTGGGGCTGGCGAGGGCTGGGGTATGGGGTATAGAGTTTAATGTGTGTGAGAATACATCACAGCTGCCTATTATGAGACAATCATAATAACCCTTACATAGAATTTAATTTTAAAAAATCCCTGCATTTGACACAGAGCCCTATCACGTCGTCGAGACGTCTCAAAGCGCTTCACAGGATACACTGTAAAGTGAATCGACTGTATATTTTGTGGGCGAGCGTGCAGCGAGTGTGCCTGGGTAGTATTTGAGGCTTTGCGCTGCCTGAGCTGTCCTCGTCTGGTTAACGCTGACGGGCTGCAGTGTCTCTTAGAACTGTAGTGCTGGAGAGAGGAAGATCGAGACGCGGTTCCCAATTACCGTTAGCGAGCCACGGAGTCCTGCTGACAGGTGTGCTGGTGTTCACAGCAGGGGCTGACAAGACAGGGCTCGACTGTGATCTCTTTCGCGGTCGAATAAGTCTGCCAACAGTCACCTACATAAATAACACTCAGTGAGTCATTGCCGGGGAACTAACTATTCCTGTGCCGGGGAATCGACCAGGTGTATTTCGGCAGCAACAAATAATGTAGTGCGGTGTTTGGAGCGCTCGCCTCGCAAGTGAGAGGGCCCGGCTTCAATTCCCGGGCGGATCAGATCAGGAGCAATATCTTACGCAAGTCTCCTTACTCCACCTCTGTTTTACCCAGTAGTAAGTAGGACCTCAGTTGTTAGTCGATCGGAGGATCGCTTTTCCAGGGGTTTAATCCCTCCACCCCCAAAAAAAATAATTCGCTTAATCCACGACTGTTTGTGGGGGACATTGCTGTGCGCAATTGGCTGCCACGTTTCGCCCACAATATACAGTCGACTCACTTTACAGTGTGACCTGTGAAGCGCTTTGAGACGTCGCGAAGTCGTGAAAATCGCCGTATCAAATGCGAGGATTAATATTATTATCGATGATTAACTGATGGGTTCAGAGAGGGAGAGAGAGTGTTTTTTTGTGTGTGTGTGTGTGGGGGGGGTGTCTGTATAATGCTTCCAAGCTTCCTGCTAGATCTGCTCAACTCTAATGACTTCCATAGGACAGGCACAAGACGAGGGGGAAGAGAGAGCTGAGACTGTTCACGTGACAGAATGCTTGCCCTGGGGCCACACAGAAGGCCTGTTTACCTGCCAGCTACCATTTTGTGCTTGTCTTTGGTTCTGCGCTGGTCTGCTTTCTGAGCTGACAAATGAAGGGAGATGAGGGGGGGGGGTGGGGGATCGTTAACAGACGCCGTTAACTCGTGTGCTCGATATCCCCATCAATAGCAGTTCCTCCCGAGCCTCCGTTCAGACACTTGTACACCGATCTGCAACAAAAATCCGTCGTCCTAGACCTGTCCCTACGTCCCACATCCGCAATTATTTTGCTTTTAAGCTTAATTTAACCCCGTGAGAGCCGGACTGCAGTGCAGCGTTGAGCTCCGAGGCATCTTGCTTGAGTGGGTTGGGTTTCAGAACGAAACCGGCTCGACGTTTCCCCCCCAAATTACAACCCCTTTGTTTTGAAATTTCGGCTCAGGCCGGATAGACCTGCTTTGCTTCCTTCCTCTGTTGTCTTCTTTTGTACCCCACACCCCACCCTCCTCATAACCTGTGGAGTCCTGTAGTGCTGTAGCTCAGTGATTAGAGCACTCGCTTTGCGAGCGAGAGACCTGAGCTCAATTCCCAGCAGAGGGCGAAACCTCGGGCAAGTTTCCTCACTCCACACAGAGCCTAATAATAATCCTCCAAAACCAACAACAATAATAAATTGGTCATTTTCAATCTACGACTGTTGTGGGACATTGCTGTGCGCAATTGGCTGCTGCGTTCGCCCACAAATATACAGTCAATTCACTTTACAGTGTGTTCTGTGAAGCGCTTTGGGACGTCCTCCCGACGTGAAAAGCGCTATATCAAATGCAAGGATTATTATATTATTATAGAGCACTTTCCCTCGCAAGTGTGATGACCTGGGTTTCATTCGAGGCGAAATGTGGGCAAGTTTCCTTACACCGCACACTTTTTAACCTGGAGCAAGTAGGAACCGGGTTGTTAGTCGATTGGTGGCTCCAAGTCCCCCCACTCCAAGCACTGGTCCTCCAAGTCCCCCCCCACTCCAAACACTGGTCCTCCAAGTCCCCCCCACTCCAAGCACTGGTCCTCCAAGTCCCCCCCACTCCAAGCACTGGTCCTCCAAGTCCCCCCACTCCAAGCACTGGTCCTCCAAGTCCCCCCACTCCAAGCACTGGTCCTCCAAGTGCCCCCCACTCCAAGCACTGGTCCTCCAAGTCCTCCCCACTCCAAGCTCTGGGTCCTTTCTCCTCCAAGCACTGGTCCTCCAAGCTTTGGACCTCCAAACTTTGGTCCACCAAGCTTGGGTCCTCCAATATATTCTCCTCCAATATATCCTCCTCCACGATCTAATCCTCCCAAGCCTTGGTCCTCCAAGATCTTCTCCGAGCTCCAAACCTCTCCTCCCGCTGGCACTTTCTGCTTCTCCGCGTTAGCGTCAGTCACATGGCTGCCTCTCGAGGGTGTCGAGTTAGCTCACGTCAGCCCTGCACAGAGAGAGAGAGCGAGCGAGAGAGAGAGAGAGAGCGAGAGAGAGAGAGAGAGAGCGAGAGAGAGGAACCAAGAAGAAAAGAAAACGGTTACTGACTTTTAGGCAATATCCTGTCCCCAACAACGTGTGAAAAACAGAATGAACGAAGGCCACTTGGACTTAATTTCCATTTATAATAATAATAAAATAATAATCCTTGCATTTGATATATCGTCAGCTTAGACTACATGAGCTCCAAGTCCCGAAGTAAGGCTTGAAGAACAACAACAACAATTTACCTTGACACAGAGCCCCTCACGCAGGGTAGCATCCCAGAGTGCTTGACAGTGGTGGAGTTCGACGCCGAGCCGGGGAGGAGGGCGGGGGAGGTGATCGGCACGGCCGAAGAGGAAAGTCTTCGGGTGCGACCTGGAGATGGGGAAGGAGGAAGGGGGCAAGGCGGAGGAAGGGAGGGATAGAGGGAGGGAGAGAGTGACAAGAGTTTCAGGGCTTAGTGGCTGGAAACGCGGCCACCAATGAACCCACAACCTTTCACTTTTATGCTTCACACTTGAGGTTGATTCGCAGTATAGAGACCCTGCCAGATGTGTGTTGAATCTTCCTCAGTTACTCCAGATGAGGACAGCAACTATTACCCGGTGCTGCCCTCTACTGGTAAGTATTGGGTGTTACAACACATTGACACACTGGGCAAGTGGCCACAGCATTAAGTGAACGGCAGGTCTCAGCTACTAATCATCTTTCGCCCACGAAATACACAGTCACTCCATTTTAACCATGTTTTTATACTATATCAAATGCAAGTATTATTATTATTATTTAACATCCACCTGAACAGGTGACCGTTTCAAGTCTCATTCGAAAGGACAGCTTTTCCGGGGGTAATAATGCCTTCAAAGAAACAAATAATAATAAATTGGTCATTTTCAATCTACGACTGTTTGTGGGACATTGCTGTGCGCAATTGGCTGCTGCGTTCGCCCACAAATATACAGTCAATTCACTTTACAGTGTGTTCTATGAAGCGCTTTGGGACGTCCTCCCGACGTGAAAAGCGCTATATCAAATGCAAGGATTATTATTATTATTATTATTATTATATTGCTAAGCCGGGAGGAGACAGGACCAAGCGTTGGTGCTGAGATCCAGGCAGCTTTAGTCACTGCTTAAAGCTGATAGTCATAGCCACTGCAATATGAAAACCCAGTGAATGGAAACATGGCAAACTATCTCTCTGGCTTCTGTTGACTTCCCCATAAGAAGATACGGAGGTCGATGTCCACAAAGGGGAAGCCAGGCAATTTCCTTCTCTTGAGCAAACGCACATTTTATTAACTTTATCTCTCTTTCTTTCTTGAGGCAGAAATATCACCACCACATTTAAAGGGACAGAGTCTGTCTACAAAGCTAACAACAACCACAACAAATGACCTTTACACAACATGTTTCATGTCAGGAGGACGTCCTAAGGTGCTGGACAGTCAGGGATTTGGATCTGAACTGGGGGTTGAGATCAGGAGTGGGGTGGAGGGCGGGGGGTAGAAGGGTGACTGGAGGCTTAGTTGAACAGGAGGGTCTTGAAGGAGTCAAGGAAGGGGGTGAGGAGGAGGGACTGTGGTATGGAGTTCCAGAGGTTGGGGGCAGAAAGGCTGAAGGTCCGCCCGCCGATGGTGGGGTGCACAAGGCTGGACATATGAAGCAGGCCGGAGGTCACTGAGCAGAGGGCACGGCCAGGTTGGTAGGGGGTTAGGACGTCAAGGAGGTAGGGAGGAGCAAGGACACGGAGGGATGTGAGGACCGCTGGTATTTAACAACAATAAACTCGATTCTGATATTTAAAGGCTCAGTGTTCCACAAACTAAGCCCTTTGCGATATTTCCTCACTCGCCCACACTACTTCCTCCGCTCTGCAAACTCGGGCCTGTGTTGTATAATTTTCTCCACCCCACCAATGTGCCTCTGCTGTGTGGATCTCTTTCCGCCACATTACCTCAGTCTCACCCTCTCTGCTTCAGTTAACCTTTTCCAATGCCCCCCATCTAGCCCCTCAAGACGGTCTCTTTCACATGAAAGATGCTGTGTAAGGTTTCAGGGTGACAAGATGATGTGTCAAATAGACGTTTTTTAAGTAATAATAACGACAATAATAATCCTGGCATTTGATACAGCGCCTTATCACGTCTTCAAGACGTCTCAAAGAGCTTCACAGAATGTGCTGTAAAGTGGAGTGACTGTATTTTGTGCAAGAAACACACAGCCAATTGCACACAGCAGTGTCCCACTAACAGTCGTGGATTGAGTAACCCAATTAGTATTTTTTTTAAGGGTTTATTACCCCCCCACCCGGAAAGAGATCCGCCAATCGACTTCCAATTGGGTTCCTACTTACTGCTAGGTAAACAGAGACGTGTGCGTGCGAACAGAGTAAGGAAACTTGCATAAAGTTTTATACCACCCAGGAATGGAACCTGGGTCCTCTCGCTTGCGAGGCGAGTGCTCTAACCACTACGCTTTTTCACTCTAAATAGGCTCCCACTTTACCATTCGAGTTAAGTCAACAGAGACGTATTTTCAGAGAGAGAGATAAAGACTTACCTCTGAGTTCAAACGGGAAAGTAAGGTTTTGTCAGAGTTGTGGTGAGGTTCATGTTTTCAAGATGTGCGTTCAGTGCAGCGGGGAGCAGGGGAAGGCTAGAGACAGTGGCAGATGAAGTGAGACTGAGAGAGAGGAGAGAGAGAGCGAGAGATACAAGCCAGGAAATGAGACTCGAGATAAGTTGCAGGTTCCAGGAACAACCAAACAGCAAGTCACTCCCACCCCGCCCCCCGCCCCCCCCTCCTCTCTCTCCCCCCCCACCCCCCCCCCGTGCCCAGGGCAGAGCACACACGGAGCAACAAGATGGCAGCCAACATGTACCGGGTCGGAGGTGGGTACCGGGGCCGGTTGGCGGGAAGGGAAGGGCGGGAGGCGGCTTCTCCTCAGTTGTTGTTGAGGCTCCTGGTTCCCGGTCACTCACCCTCTTCCCCCCCTCTCCTCTCTCTCTCTCCCTCACCCTCACTCTCCCCCTCTCTCCTTCCCTCCCTCCTCTCTCTCTCTCTCTCTCTCTGGCACCCCGCTGTGTGTGTGTGTGTGTGTGAGGGAGGGAGGGAGTGCGAGAGGCCGGGGCCTGAGGCCTGGTCAGCCACTCACTCACTCACAGCGGACACCAGACGCTCTCTCTCTCTATTTATTATTATTATTATCTCTCTCTCCCCCCCTCTCTCGCTATCTCTCCCTATCTCACCCTCTCTATCTCCTACCCCCCCCACCTCTCTCTCCCCCTCTCTCGCTATCTCTCTCCCCCCCTCTCTATCTCTCTCCCCTCTCTCGCTATCTCCTCTCCCCCTCTCTCTCCCTCCCCCTCTCTATCTCCCCCCTTTCTCTCCCCCTCTCTATCTCTCTTCCACTCTCCATCTCTCTCCCCTCCTCTCTATACCCACTTAGTATTATTATCTATATCTCTCTCTCCCTCTCTCTGTATCTCTCTCCCACTATCTGTCTCCCTTTCTGCCTATAATCTCTCTCTCCATCTATCTCCCTCCCTCTGTGTATATATATATATATCTATATTGTTTCACCCACTAAACACACGGTCACTGCACTTTACAGCGTATCCTGTGAAACGCTCTTGAGACGCCTCGAAAAAGCGATGCACTGTAAAGTGTAGTGACTGTATGTTTGTGGGCGAAATGCGGCAGCGAATTGGGCAACAGCGACGTCCCGCGCGCACGCGCTGGTGGATCGAAGTGGCCAAATTTATTATAATCCATATTATAACAGCAGTGTCCCACAAACAGCCGAGGAGTGAGGTGGTGGGACATTGTCAGCAGGAAGCAGGACCCCGATTGTCCGTCGATCGGCGGATCGCTTCCAGGGGTAATAATCCCTTCACAAAATAATAATTTGGTCGCTCAACCCAGGACTGTTTGTGGGACGGGCAGCAGTGTGATGGCATTCTGCACTCATTTCCCCAGGGAGGTGCGAGCACACTCCCTTCCTGCCGAGGACTTCATCCCAGCCTTGACCTCGCCACATTCGGGGGTTTACTCGAGTGCAGAAGGGAAGTTGCAGCCCACTAGTGGAGGAGGGAAAAAGTGTCAGGTCCTCCGTGGAGAGAGAGAGAGAGAGAGAGAGAGGGGGGGGGGGGGCATGTTACTTACTGCCACTTATTCCCGCAACTGGGTACTGTCACCCATTTTGTCCACACGTCACTGGTAAATGAGTCAATTATGTTGACTTTTTGTTCAGTGGTCGGGCTGTTCAGAAGTGGTACGTGTGATACCAACCTGCCTGAAATATTGGTTTTGAGGTTTATTATTGTGGAGTCCTGTAGCTCAGTGGTTAGAGCACTCGCCTGGTAAGCGAAATGTTGGGCAAGTTTCCTTCCTCCACCTCTTATTCGCCTCTGTTTACCCAGCAGTAAGTAGGAACCCGGTTGTTAGTCGATTGGCTGATCTCTTTCCGGGGGGTAATAATCCCTTCTGGGAAAAAAAATAATTTGGTGGCTCAATCCACGACTGTTTGTGGTGACACTGCTCCATCGGCCGCCGTGTTTCATCCACAGAATATACAGTCAATTCACTTTACTGGGAAGCGCTTTGAGATGTTTCGAAGGTGTGATAGGGCTCTGTATCAAATGCAAGGATTAATATTATTATTATTATAATCGAGGAACAAAAGGCTTTTCCATCTCCTCTAACTCACTACTCCACATTCCATGGCCATGCCCACCACACCCAACCCTACTTTCCTTACATTATGTGCATACTTCTATTTCCTGAGTTTTCCATCAAACTTTTCAAACCCTTGTTCAATTTCCCTTGTTTACTTATATAATTTCCGGCAGAGCGAAACATTGGGCAAGTTTCCTTACTCCACAAGCCTCTGTTTCCCCAGCAGTACGAAGGAACCCGGCTGTTAGTCGATTGTTTGATCGCTTTTCTGGGGGTTACAATCCCTTCAAAAAAAAAAGTCACTCAATCCACGACTGTTTGTGGGGACCAACAAAATATAGTCAATTCGCTTTACAGTGAAGCGCTTTGAGACATCTCAAAGACGTGATGAGGCGCTGTATCAAATGAACGATTCTTGTACTGTAGAGTGAATTGATTGTATATGTTGTGGGCGAAACGCGGCAGCCAATAGCACACAGCGGTGTCCCACAAACAGTCATGGATTCAGTGATCAAATTATTTTTATTTTTAATAATTTTTCTTACGGGTTTATTACCCCCGGAAAAATGATCCGTCAATCGACTAATAACTGGGTACCTACATACTGCTACGCAAGGAGACTTGCCTATGATTTTGCCTTGAATCGAACCCTGGTCCTCTTGCCTACAAGGCGAGCGCTCTTACCATTGTGCTGCGGGACTCCACTCTTTCCCAAATCCCTTTATATCTCCATTCCATTCGAATCGACTTGGCTTTAATAGCCTCTTGCGTTCCCCATTCTGATAGACACCAATGCAAGGGTTATTATATTATAAACAACATTTGCTGCACAGAAGGGTGCCATTGTACACTAACTGCATAAAAGACATTTATTTTAACCTTCCTGCCTCATAGTAACTTTGAGTTGAAGCTCCTTTGTTGCTGATTGACCAGCCAGTGGCAATAATCTCAGTGTTTACCTTCCCAATCCCCCTTTTAGTTACGAACACCCTTAACCTCCTCTATTCCAGTGAACACAGTCTCAATTTTCTAAGCTTTCATTATAATTATATCCTCTCCTCCCTGGTATCATCCTAGTGAATCTGTGTTGCACCCCCTCCGTAGATGTGTCTGATATCCTTTGAGGTTCAAGTGCACTGTAAACTGCTTAAGCCTTGGGTTTATGTTTTGACATCATCTGAATCTGGGATTAGTTGCTAGCACTATAGTTGCTGGCCAGAACCACTGACATTGAACCCACTGTAGTAGAAATGCAGACTTTCAGCGCACAATAACAACAATAATCCTGGCATTTGATACGGCGCCTTATCACGTCTTCGAGACGTCTCAAAGCGCTTCACGTGATGCACTGCAAAGTGAATTGACTGTATATTTTGTGAGCAAACCATGGTCACCCATCTTAAACGTGGTATTGGGTTTCTGCATGTGTCAGTCAGATACTTGGCTGACCAAAGAAATATAGTTGGTTGGTGCGTGAGGTCATTAACACGGTTTACGAACAGCCAGTTCTCTCGTAATCTGTTAATCGCTGCACTTAAAGCCTGTTACCAATAAAATGCTTTTCCTTACGTTTGATTCAGAGCACAATTAATTCCATAGTTGCCAATAATTTTATTTTCAGACTATGTCTACTTCGAGAATTCATCGAGCAACCCTTTCCTAATCCGAAGGATAGAGGAACTGAACAAGGTAAGCAAGCAATTTTCTTTTACACGCACTCAGTATTTTTTTCGCCCAGGCTTTTGAAGCGAAGGTAAATACCTAATCCCACAGTAATGTGAGTGGTGTTTGATACAGCGCCTTATCACGTCGTTGACACGTCTCGAAGCGCTTTAGAGGATATACTGTAAAGTGCAGTGACTGTGTATGTCGTGGGAGAGAAAAGGCAGGCAATCGCGCCCAGCAGCGTCCCACAAACAGTCATGGAGTGAGTGACCACATTTTTTTTGGAGGGACTATTATCCCCGGAAAGCGATCCACCATTGACTGACAAGCGGGTTCCTACTGACTGGTGGTAAGAGAGGTGTGTGTGTGTGTGGAGTAAGGAAACTTGCCTGAAGTTTCGTCCTAACCGGGAATTGAACCCAGGTTCTCTCGCTTGTGAGGCGAGTGCTCTTAACCACTACACTATACGACTCCCATGTTGCCTGGCGAATGTGCCTGTTACCGCTGTGCTTTTGGGAGCACATGGATGGTTGAAATGTTTGGATTCAACTTCAGATTGTGAACGTTTACAGAATGAATGAATTTAAACCTGATTGCTGTGTCTACAGCAAGTGCTCCTTCACAATCATAGAATCTTACAGCACAAAAGGAGGCCATTCGGCCCATTTTGCCTGTGACGGCTCTTTGAAAGAGCTACCAACTAGTCCCTACTCCCTCCTCCCGCTCTTACCCCAACTAGTCCCTCACTCCCCCCGGTCTTACCCCAACTAGCTCCACTCCTCTCGCTATTACCCCATAGTCCTGCACATTGTACCTTTTCAAGTCCCTATCCAATTCCCTTTTAGAAAGCTACTATCAAATCTGCTCCCACCAGCCTTTCAGGCCGTGGGTTCCAGACCGTAACAACTCTCGGGTAAAAGAAAATGTCTCCTCGTCTGGTCTCCCCTGTGGTTCTTTTGCCGATTATTTGTGGCTATTTCTAAAAATCCTGGTAAATAGCCTTACTTCCCTCTGTCAGAGAGTGTGAAACTTCCACTTGCCTTCAGAGTTTCCAGAGTAGTAACTCTGTGTAACGCTGTTAAGTTAACGCAGCTGTAGGTTTTCTAATAGCTTCTCCGAGCTGCTTTGCATACTGAGCACCCTTTGATCTCCCGGTTAATAGCTGGAACAGATGGAGTCTTGTGCTCCTGGCTGCCTATAGTGATGCCAGGAGTCTGCCCTAGGCACAACGGTGTCTGGTGGAAGAACCCATTTTGTCACCCCCCGCATCTCCCACTTCTATATTGACTCTTGTCACCGGTAGCTACCAGCTGCAGTTTAAACTGGGCTCAATCATAACTGTGGAGCCCTGTAGCTCAGTGGTCAGAGCACTCGCCTCGCAAGCGAGAGGACCTGGGTTTGATTCCCGGCAGGGTGAACCATTGGACAAGTTTCACACACGCCTCTGTTTACCCAGCGGTAAGGAGGAACCCGGTTGTTAGTCGATTGGTGGATCGCTTTTCCGGGGGTAATAATCCCTTCCAAAAGAAGGAATCATAATAAATTGGTCACTTCAATCCACGACTGTTTGTCGGACACTCCTGTCCGTAATTGGCTACCGAGTTTCTCCCACAAAACATTATTATTATTATAAACCGCACGGCAGAATTCCTGGGGTTGAACTGTTTTCTTATGTGCAGAGAAAGTTCAGTCTCAAACTCTAGTAGTAGTAAATAAAGTTGGTTCCTGAGCCGGGAGGGGCCGCAGTGTCCCGGGGCACTCACTGCTGATGGCAGCACAGCCCGGCCCGGCTCATCGGCAGGACCTGGAAGGGCCGATCAGTCCCTGGGGGCCGGGAATCCTCCCCCTCAGCTCCTGGTAACCCCACAGCCAAAGCCCCAACTAACTAGCGGGGAGGGGGGTTCCTAGCTGGAAAAGCAGAGGGAAAGCTCGGCCGGACAGCGCTCTCAATGGCCAAGCTATGGTGGCTTTAGCTGATTAGACTCCAGCAGTTACCCCAACACACACTCTGCCCACCCCCCAAGCCTTGGCTCTTGCCAACCAGCGCCTAATACTCTCCAGAATTAGGTAAGCAGGGGGCGTCCCTCCAGGGAGCGAGAGAGAGAGAGAGCGCGCGCATTCCATCCTAACAATTTATCTAGAATTTCCATGTGTAGGGGGGGATGCATTTGACAGACATGCGGCTGGCCAAGAAATAGTACACAAATAATAATAATCCTTGCATTTGATAGAGCACATTATCACATCTTCGAGACGTTTCAAAGCGCTTCACAGAATATAACTGTAAAGTGAATTGACTTGTAAGTTTTGTGGGTGAAACGCTGCAGCCAATTGCACGCAGCAGTGACCACAAACAGTCAGTGTTTGAGTAACCAATTCATCAATATTATTTTTTTTGGAAGGAATTATTACCCGGGTAAATAACCTCCGTTGTCTTTGTGTTTTTGACGATTTGCAGACTGCGAATGGAAATGTCGAGGCAAAAGTGGTTTGTTTCTACAGAAGGCGGGACATCCCGAGCACCCTTATTGGACTCGCAGACAAACACGCAAGTAAGTTTTGGGGGCGTGAATCCCTTTTAATCAACAATAGCAACACATCACATTTACACACGGTCGAAGAGGAGGGTCTTGAGTCCAGCCTTGGAGGAGGCAACCAGCCGGAGTCAGCCGAGTGGAGGCAGCAGGTTGTGGGTTGAGGGGTAAGCAGGTCAGAGACTTAAAGGGGTGCCAGGGCGTGAAGGGATTTGTAAACGAGTGAGAAGAACTTGAAATTGATCTGTGATAGGGAGCCAGTGGAGGCTGGCGAGGGCTGGGGGTGATGGGGGGACGGGGTTCAGTGTGTGTGATAGGGAGCCAGTGGAGGCTGGCGAGGGCTGGGGGTGATGGGGGGACGGGGGTTAGTGTGTGTGATAGGGAGCCAGTGGGGCCTGGCGAGGGGTGGGGGTGATGGGGGGACGGGGTTCAGTGTGTGTGATAGGGAGCCAGTGGGGGCTGGCGAGGGCTGGGGTATGGGGTATAGAGTTTAATGTGTGTGAGAATACATCACAGCTGCCTATTATGAGACAATCATAATAACCCTTACATAGAATTTAATTTTAACAATCCCTGCATTTGACACAGAGCCCTATCACGTCGTCGAGACGTCTCAAAGCGCTTCACAGGATACACTGTAAAGTGAATCGACTGTATATTTTGTGGGCGAACGTGCAGCGAGTGTGCCTGGGTAGTATTTGAGGCTTTGCGCTGCCTGAGCTGTCCTCGTCTGGTTAACGCTGACGGGCTGCAGTGTCTCTTAGAACTGTAGTGCTGGAGAGAGGAAGATCGAGACGCGGTTCCCAATTACCGTTAGCGAGCCACGGAGTCCTGCTGACAGGTGTGCTGGTGTTCACAGCAGGGGCTGACAAGACAGGGCTCGACTGTGATCTCTTTCGCGGTCGAATAAGTCTGCCAACAGTCACCTACATAAATAACACTCAGTGAGTCATTGCCGGGGAACTAACTATTCCTGTGCCGGGGAATCGACCAGGTGTATTTCGGCAGCAACAAATAATGTAGTGCGGTGTTTGGAGCGCTCGCCTCGCAAGTGAGAGGGCCCGGCTTCAATTCCCGGGCGGATCAGATCAGGAGCAATGTCTTACGCAAGTCTCCTTACTCCACCTCTGTTTACCCAGTAGTAAGTAGGACCTCAGTTGTTAGTCGATCGGAGGATCGCTTTTCCAGGGGTTAATAATCCCTCCACCCCCCAAAAAAAATAATTCGCTGAATCCACGACTGTTTGTGGGACATCGCTGTGCGCAATTGGCTGCCACGTTTCGCCCACAAATATACAGTCAATTCACTTTACAGTGTGACCTGTGAAGCGCTTTGAGACGTCGCGAAGTCGTGAAAAGCGCCGTATCAAATGCGAGGATTAATATTATTATCGATGATTAACTGATGGCGGTTCAGAGAGGGAGAGAGAGTGTTTTTTTGTGTGTGTGTGTGTGGGGGGTGGTCGGTATAATGCTTCCAAGCTTCCTGCTAGATCTGCTCAACTCTAATGACTTCCATAGGACAGGCACAAGACGAGGGGGAGAGAGAGAGCTGAGACTGTTCACGTGACAGAATGCTTGCCCTGGGGCCACACAGAAGGCCTGTTTACCTGCCAGCTACCATTTTGTGCTTGTCTTTGGTTCTGCGCTGGTCTGCTTTCTGAGCTGACAAATGAAGGGAGATGAGGTGGGGGGGGGGGGGGATCGTTAACAGACGCCGTTAACTCGTGTGCTCGATATCCCCATCAATAGCAGTTCCTCCCGAGCCTCCGTTCAGACACTTGTACACCGATCTGCAACAAAAATCCGTCGTCCTAGACCTGTCCCTACGTCCCGCATCCGCAATTATTTTGCTTTTAAGCTTAATTTAACCCCGTGAGAGCCGGACTGCAGTGCAGCGTGGAGCTCCGAGGCATCTTGCTTGAGTGGGTTGGGTTTCAGAACGAAACCGGCTCGACGTTTCCCCCCCAAATTACAACCCCTTTGTTTTGAAATTTCGGCTCAGGCCGGATAGACCTGCTTTGCTTCCTTCCTCTGTTGTCTTCTTTTGTACCCCACACCCCACCCTCCTCATAACCTGTGGAGTCCTGTAGTGCTGTAGCTCAGTGATTAGAGCACTCGCTTTGCGAGCGAGAGACCTGAGCTCAATTCCCAGCAGAGGGCGAAACCTCGGGCAAGTTTCCTCACTCCACACAGAGCCTAATAATAATCCTCCAAAACCAACAACAATAATAAATTGGTCATTTTCAATCTACGACTGTCTGTGGGACATCGCTGTGCGCAATTGGCTGCCGCGTTCGCCCACAAATATACAGTCAATTCACTTTACAGTGTGTTCTGTGAAGCGCCTTGGGACGTCCTCCCGACGTGAAAAGCGCTATGTCAAATGCGAGGATTATTATCATTATTATAGAGCACTTTCCCTCGCAAGTGTGATGACCTGGGTATCATTCGAGGCGAAATGTTTGGCAAGTTTCCTTACACCGCACACTTTTTAACCTGGAGCAAGTAGGAACCGGGTTGTTAGTCGATTGGTGGATCGCTTTTCCGGGGGTAATAGTTTGTTCAAAAAAATAATACTAATAAATCAGTAACTTCAATCCACGACTGTTTGTGGGTACATCGCTGCGCGCAATTGGCTGCCGCGTTTCGCCCACAAAATCTACCTTCAATTCAGTTTACAGTGTACCCTGTGAAGCGCGTATATCAAATGCAACAATTATTATTATGATAACCGTGTAGCTTCTCATTGTCAATACAGTCGAGTAGTATTTGCCAGCCTTGATGCACGTCACCACCTTTGTATGCTATCCTGCTTGAGGGGCGCTATTTAAATGCAAGTTGTTGTTTGTTGAGGCCGACTGGATATGGAGCTCTTATTCTGTAACTTCTCCCTGTTCCTTCCTTCTTTATGTAGGCCAAGAGTTGGATAACTGTGACCCAGCCCTGCCTTCAGAGGTTCCAGAGGTTCAACAGGAAACGTTGACGAAGTCTGGTGAGTATATTCCTATCCCGCGCGTCCCTCACGGGAGAGGGTGTTTGCCCCCACAGGCCCTGGTCATTTTACCCCCAGCAGTAAACAAGCTCTCCGAGTAAGTAACTATGTATACCCGACTCCATCACCCCAGTCCTTGCCAGGCCCCACTGGCTCCCTATCACGCACACTAAACTCTGTACCCCCATCACCCCAGTCCTCGCCAGGTCCCACTAGCTCCCTATCACGCACACTAACCTCTGTACCCCCATCACCCCAGCCCTCGCCAGGCTCCCTTGCATTTGATATAGCGCCTTATGACATCTTTGGGATGACTCAAAGGGTTTCACAGCATATACTGTAATGTGTAGTGACTGTGCATTATATGGGCAAAACGTGCAGCCAATTGCGTGCGGCAGTGTCCCCCGAACAGCCGGGGATTCTTCTCTTATTAACGTTATTGTTAGTAAAGTTGTTAACCATCTCTGATTGCAGAGGATCTTGAGGAGGAAATGGAAACAGACAGCCTGCAGCAGCTAACAGAGAAACAGCAGCACCAGCTCAAACATCGAGAACTCTTCCTGTCACGGCAACTGGAATCTCTGCCAGCGACACACATACGGTAAGCGCTGTTTCAAAGCCCTCCCTCCGTTGCCTTGCTCCTCCCTACCCTCGTGACCTGCTAACCCTATGTCAGCCGGACCGCTCCCTCCGCTCACCGTGCTCAGACCTGCTCCGTGTTCCCCATCCGGCCCCCTGCCCCAACATCAGTGGTCAGGCCTTCAGCCTCTCTGCTACCAGGTTTTGGAACTCTATCCCACAATCCCTTACCTCACCCCCTCACTTGCCTCCTTCAAAGCTCGTCTTGAGACCCTCCCTTCGGTCACCCTCCTACACCCACCCTCCCTGCCCAGTGGAGGCTGGCGAGGGCTGGGGTGATGGGGGGACGGGGTTCAGTGTGTATGATAGGGAGCCAGTGGAGCCTGGCGAGGGCTGGGGTGATGGGGGGACGGGGTTCAGTGTGTGTGATAGGGAGGCAGTGGAGGCTGGTGAGGAGTGGGGTGATGGGGGACCGGGGTTAGTGGGGGTGATAGGGAGGCTGGCGAAGGCTGGGTTGATGGTGGACGGGGTTTAGTGCGGGTGAGTATTCAGGCAGCAGAGTTTTGGATTCACACTTGTGTCCCTGGAGTTATAAAACTAACTAGTTCCTGTCTGTGCTTCTCCTCCTCACAGGGGAAAATGCAGCGTCACTCTGCTGAACGAAACTGAAGCGGTTTTTTCATATCTGGAAAAAGAGGTGAGAATCTTTCTCCTCCATACAGACTATATAATTAGTATTATAATATAATAATGATAATACTTTCATTTGATATAGTCTTCTAGACGTCTCAAAGCGCTTCACAGAGTGTGCTGTAAAGTGAATTGACAAACATAACATGACATGTAGGAGCAGGAGTAGGCTATTCAGCCCCTCGAGCCTGCCCCGCCGTGGCTGATCTTCTAATCTAACTCCAGCTAATAACCTGACCCTGCCTTATCCCCATATCCCCCCCAACTCCCAGCCTCCCCCCCTCCCCTGCCTTATCCCCATATCCCCCCCAACGCCCAACCTCCCCCCCCACTCCCTGCCTTATCCCCATAATCCCTTAATCCCTTTTGCAATAAGAAACCTATCTATCTCAGTCTTGAAAATGTTCAAGGACTGAGCGTCAACAGCCCTTTGGGGTAGTGAGTTCCATACATTCAGTGCCCTTTGAGTGAAGAAGTTCTTCCTCAACTCAGTGCGAAAGGGATGGCCTCTGGTTGTGACGCCTGGTTTCAGTTTCTCCAACCGGGGACACAATCTCCAACTATCTCCTCTATCGTGGCCTTTGATGAGCTTATAGGTTTCTATAAGATCCCCTCTGATTCTTCTATATTCTAGAGAATATAGGTCCAAATTGGTCATCCTATCCTCGTAACTCATCCCATTCATCCCTGGTACTAACCCAGTAAATCTACACTTTGGTCAGGATTCTGGAGTGACCTCTCTCCCTCTCTTTCTCTTTCTCTGTGTTTTCTTTCAGGATTCCTTTTTTTACTGCCTCGTTTACGACCCGCAACAGAAGACTCTCCTCGCAGATAAAGGAGAAATCCGTGTAGGTCCCAGATACCAGGCCGATATTCCTGATTTACTGAAAGAAGGTAAATAGGAGATTTCTAGGAACAGGAGGAGGCCATTCAGCCCCTCAGCCTTGACATTTGGGGAGTAGTTCTCCCTCTGCCCTTCCAGGTCCTGCCAATGAGCCAGGCCGGGTTGTGCTGTCATCAGCAGTGAGTGCCCTGGAATACTGCGGCCACTCCTGGCTCAGGAACCGGGACTAGAGACTGTCACGAGGAGGAAGGGGCTCGATTCTGACATTTCGTTGTCGAACATGTCACCTTGGGGCCAGTTCAGCTCTGAGGAGACCCCAATTCCCCCCCAACCTCCCAGGAGGAATAACCACAAGGTGAAGGTGATGTTTTTTTTCTTATTGTCCATTTATTCTCACAGGTGAAGAGGATGGCAGGGATCAGGTCAAACTCGAAGCAAAAATCTGGGACACAGACAACCCTCTGACAGACAGGCAGATAGACCAGTTTTTGGTCCTCGCCCGGTAAGCTATCTCTCCGATCTGCTTACTTACTCCCCAACCCACTACCCGCTGCCTCCGCTCGGCTGGCTCCGGCCTCCTGCTTGTTCCTCGTGCCCTCCGCTCCACCATCGGTGACCGCGCTTTCAGCCACTACGCCGTGAAACTTTGTCACTCTCCCTCTCTATCCCTCCCTCCGTCTCGGCCCCTCCTTCCCCATCTTCATGTCGCGCCTGAAGAACTTCTTCTTCGACTGTCACCTCCCCATCCTGTGTGTGTGTGGTGGGGGGGGGGGGGTAGAGTAAGGAAACTTGCCTATGGTTTCACCCTGACCTGACCCGCCCGGGAATCGAACCCGGATCCTCTCGCTTGTAAGGTGAGCGCTCTAACTACTACCCATGGGACAGCGATGCAAGTTGTGGTGTCAGAGAGAGAGAGAGAGAAGGCAATGTTCCAGACATTTCGCCCACAGAACACACAGTCACTACGCTTTACAGTATATTCCGTGAAGCGCTTTGAAACGTCTTGATGAGGCGCTGTATTATTATGATCCTTCTGGTTATTTTCGGGAAGGTGAGGAATGGATTGTGCTGCCGATCTGTGGACTGATTTCTTTCTGGGCTTCTTCCTTTGCAGGTCTGTGGGTACGTTTGCTCGAGCCTTAGACTGCAGTAGCTCCATCCGACAGCCAAGTTTGCACATGAGCGCAGCTGCTGCTTCTAGAGACGTCACGCTGGTGAGAACTGTTGGTGTCGACCTGTGGTAGTAGCTCAGTGGGCTCCGGCCTGCTCCACGTCCCCTGCCCAGCCCAGTCCAGCCCGTCCCACCAACGATGGTCGTGCCTTCAGCCTCTCCGCCCCCACCCTTTGGAACTCCATCCCACAGTCCCTTCGCCTCACTCCCTCTCTTGCCTCCTTCAAGCCCCGTCTCAAGACCCTCCTCTTCGACCATCTGTGCCTTCGGCCGCCCTCTTACCTCCCCACTCTCCAACCCTCTTGATCCCAACTCCCAGCTCGGGTCCAAAACCCCTGACTGTTCAGCACCTCCGTAAGTCCTCCCGACGTGAATATAATGATAATAATAATCCTTACATTTTGATACAGCGCCTCATCACGTCTTCGAGACGTCCCAAAGCGCTTCACAGGATACACTGTAAAGTGAAGTGACTGTATATTTTGTGGGCGAAACGCGGCAGTCGATTGCGCACAGCAGCGTCCCCACAAACAGTCGTGGATCGACCGACCAATTTGTTTTTTTTGGAAGGAATTATTACCCCTGGAATCCCAATCGACTAATAACCGGGTTTCTACTTAATGCTGTGTAAACAGAGGCGTGTGTCTGTGTGGGTCTGTGTGTGTGTTTGTGTCTGTCTGTGTGTGTGTAAGGAAACATGCCCAACAGTTCGCCCCGAACTGAGCTGCCCGGAATCGAACCCCTTGCGGGACGAGGGCTCTAACCCCTGAGCTACAGCCTCACACAGCAGCTGTCAGTGTTCTGAGCCACGAGTGTTAAATTTGTCGTCCGTCGTCGTTTCCTGTGCCCGCAGTTTCACTCGATGGACACGTTGCATAAAAATAACTACGACGTCTCGAAGGCCATCTCTGCGCTGGTGCCCCAGGGCGGGCCGGTGCTGTGCCGGGACGAGATGGAGGAGTGGTCCGCCTCCGAGGCAAACATGTTCGAAGAGGCACTCGAGAAATACGGCAAGGATTTCAGCGACATCCGGCAAGACTTTGTGAGTACCGCCCTCTGTCGCCAGATAATCCGCACTGCAGCTGTGTTAAAAGGGTTCAAAGTCCTCGTCCTGGCCTTCAAAGCCCTCCACGGCCTCGCTCCTCACCACCTCTGAGTTACCTGCTAACTCCATATCGACCCGTCCGCTCCCTCCGACCAGCGGGCAACGCCTGCTCCACGTCCCCCCCCACCCCCCGCCCGGCCCACCCCACCATCAGCCTCTCTGCTCCCACCGGCCCTTTAGATCTCCATGCCACAGTCCCTCCCTCTATCCCCTCCCGCCCATGCCTCCTTCAAGATCCTCCTCTTCGATCGGACCTTTGGTCACCGTCCCAGCCCTACCCTCTCCCCCCACCCCCCCCCCCCGCCCCCCTCCTGATCCCAACCCCCAGTTCAGATGAAGCGCTTTGAGACGTTTCAACCACCTGATAAGGTGCTGTGTCAAAAGCGAGGATTATTATTCCAATTATTGTTATTATTTACAGCTCCCGTGGAAGGCTCTAACCAGCATCGTCGAGTACTACTACATGTGGAAAACGACAGACCGATACGTACAGCAGGTAAACGTGTTCGTGTAACATATGGAGTCCAGTAACTCAGGGGTTAGAGCCCTCGCCTCATAAAACCAGAGGTCCCAGGTTCGATTCTCCAGCGGGTCAGGTTGGGGTGAAACCTTAGGCAAGTTTCCTTACTACACACACACACACGCACACGGACACACAAACCCACCCACACACACACACGCCTCTGTTCACCCAGAATTAAGGAGGAACCCGGTTGTTAGTCGATTAGCGGATCGCTTTTCCGGGAGTAATAATCCCTTAATAATAATGCAGTCACTCAATCCACAACTGTTTGTGGGGACGTCGCTGGGCGCAATTGGCTGCCGCGTTTCACCCACAAAATACACAGTCACTACACTTTACAGCGAATCCTGTGAAGCGCTTTGATACGTCTCAACGGCGTGATAAGGCGCTGTGTCAAATGCGAGGATTATTATTATTATTGATGGTTTGGTGGGGTTGTTGCTGGGGCAAATCAATTGGAGACGTTTCTCATCCGAGCTCCTTTCCTTTCAGAAACGCTTGAAAGCGGCAGAAGCAGAAAGCAGACTAAAGCAAGTGTACATCCCCAACTAGTAAGTGACTCCCCTCCTCCCGTACTACAGAGAGCCATAGACATTCACCCACAAAATACACAGTCAATCCATTTTACCATATAGTCTGTGAGTGGGCCCCGCCCCCCTCCACCACCACCACCACTACACGCTGCCCTCCTGTTTGTCCCTCGTGCCCTCCGCCCCATCAGCCACTACGCCCCGAAGCTCTGTCACACTTTCCCTCGATTCCTCCACCTCACCCCCTCCCTCCCCACCTTCAAATCCTGCCTGAAGACCTTCCTTTTTGATCGTGGTCACCAACCCCCCACCCTCCCTCCCTTCTTCCCTCCCTCTCTCCCCCCCCCAACCCCCCTCACCTTCTTCCCTCCCTTTCCCCTTGGCTCGTTGTCAGACTCCGCCACTGTCATGCGCTCCAGAACACTATCCATCGTGTTGTTGTAAACACTGTCTGATATCTCTCTCTCTCTGTGCGTGTGTCTCTCTATCTCTCTGTCTCTCTCTGTGTCTCTCTCTCCGACAGCAATAAACCAAACCCCAACCAGATCAATGTGAATAGCACGGTGGCCAAGTCTGCGATGGTTAATGGAGCTGCCGTCCCGGGGCAGAACGGCGGAGCGGGGAGAGCTTGTGAAAGCTGTTACAGTGAGTAGAGACCGCTTGCTTTCTGTAGCATCGTGTAGCTCAGTGGTTAGAGCCCTTGACTCGCTAACGAGAAGACCTGGGTACGATTCCCGGGCGGGTCAGGTCAGGGCGAAACCTAAGGCAAGTTTCCTTACTACAGACACACATACACACATACTGTTTACCAACAGTAAGTAGGAACCCACTTGGTAGGCAATTGACAAATCGCTTTCCGGGGGTAATAATCCCTTAATAAAAAATAATACTAATAATAATTATTTGTCCACTTCAATCCACGACTGTTTGTGGGGACGTCGCTGGGCGCAATTGGTTGCCGCGTTTCGCCCACAACACACACAGTCACTACACTTGACCGTGTATCCTGTGAAGCGCTTTGAGACGTCTCGAAGGCGTGATAAGGGGCGAGGGTTGGTATTATTATTGGAGTGGCTTTATGTCTTTCTGCTGTTTCTCTGGTGGCAATGACGACACTTTGCTCTCTTGTGTGTTGTAGCTACTCAGTCTTACCAATGGTATTCCTGGGGTCCTCCTAACATGCAGTGCAGGCTATGTGCAACGTGCTGGAATTACTGGAAAAAATATGGTGGCCTGAAGATGCCAACGAGACTAGAAGGAGAGCGACCTGGTCCCAACCGTAGCAGCGCAGTAAGTGTGTGGCTGTGAGCAGGAGATATAACCTTACACCGACCGGCTGCTCCAATGCTTCCAAACGGAGCCCTGTAGCTCAGTGGTGAGAGCCCTCGCCTCGCAAGCCAGAGGGCCTGGGTTTGCTTCCAGGGCAGGCAGAGAGAAATGTTGGGCAAGTTTCCTTCCTTACCACACGCACGCCTCTGTTTACGCAGCAGTAAGCAGGTACCTGGCTGTTACTCGAATTGGCGGATCGCTTTCCGGAGCTAATAACTTCTTCAAAACTCTTGTCACACTCTCTCCCTGTATCCCTCCCTCCGCCTTGCCCCCTCCTTCCCCATCTTCAGGTCACGCCTGAAGACCTTCCTCTTCGACCGTGAAACCCACGCACCCCTTCCCCGGCTTGGCATCGTGCTCCGCCACTGTCAAGCGCTCTGGGATGATACCCTGCATGAGGGGAGCTGTGCTGCTGCTGCCGCCGTTGTTGGGCCTTGGCCTTCCGCTAGCAAATTCTTATGATCTTGTTGTTGTTCAGGGTAATTGGAGTCAGGATGTGTGTGGCGTGTTGTTAACCGTTGCTTCCTTTCCGAGTAGAATCCGCACGGATATTGGGTGAAGAACGCAAACCCCAAGTTTACACTGAAGACGAGACAGGCTTTCTGCCTTCAGACGACCAAGCTAACCAAAATCGCACGGTATTTCTGTCGGAGCCTCTTCCACACACGGCAGTCAGCGAGGCGTCCGTTCACACCCATCAACAGCGCGGCCATCAAAGCTGAGTGTGAGTGTGCCCGCCAGCCTGCCCGCCTGTTACCTTTAATCATCATCATTATAAATATTGTTAGAGGAGTCCCCTCGCCTCACAAGCGAGAGGACCTGGGTTCAATTCCCAGGCGGGACAGGTCAGGACGAAACCTTAGGCAAGTTTCCTTACTCCAAACACACACACACACACACACACAGACACACACACCCCTCTTGTTTACCAGCAGTCAGTAGGAACCCACTTGTTAAGTCTACTGGCAGATCTCTTACCGGTCAAACTAATAATAATCCCTTTAAAAAAAATCACTCAATCCACAGCTGTTTGTGGGGACGTCGCTGGGCGCAATTGGCCGCCGCGTTTTGCCCACAAAACACACAGTCACTACACTTTACAGTTTATGCTGTGAAGGGCTTTGAGATGTCTCAACGACACGATAATTATTATGACCGGCCACTTAACCCACGTTAACATTCCTCTATCCTCCCTGTAGGTACTGCAAGGCTTCCAGAAATCGGGGAGAAACCCATCAAGCTCAAACCCTCTGTCAGGAAGACCCTGGAGTCTATAGCAAAATACCTGGGTGAGAAAAATACTCACCCACACTAAACCACGTCAGGAGGACATCCCAAGGTGCTGCACAGTTGGGTCATGACCCGAGCACTCGGTCAAAGAGAAAGGTTTTGAGACCGGCCCACTGGGGGATAGAGTTCTAGAGCCTAGGGGCTGAGAGGCTGAAGGCCCTCGACAGGCCCACTGGCTCCCTATTACTCACACACACACTAAACCCCATTGCCCCCCATCACATTTGCTCCCTTTCATAGAACTCATCGCTTTCAAGATCCTCACACTTGTCTAAGAATCTGACCTGCTCACTCCCCAACCCACTGCCTCCACTCGACCGACTGGCTCCGGCCTCCCGCTTGTCCCTCGTGGCCTCTGCTCCACCACTGTCAGCAGCGCTTTCAGCCACTACACCCCGAAGTTTTGGACCTCTTTCTTCCCCCAATCTGTCCTCCGCCTTGCCGCCTTCTTTCCCCTCATTTAAACCATGACTGAAGACCTTCCTCTTCGACCAGTGCCTACGGTTACCTCCTCCCACCCTCTCTCACCCCCTCCGGCTTGGGGTCGTGTTCCGCCACAGTCAAGCGCTCTGGGACACTGCCCTCCGGGAGGGGTCGCAAGTTCTTGTACACTGCACACGAAGCGTTTTGAGACGTGTGAAAGACGTGATAAGGCGCGGTATGAAACGCAAGGAATATTATTATTGTTATTCTCTCCTGCTCCTCGTCTCTGCTGTGTAGAGCTTCACCCGTCTGTTAAGCCCATCTGCAGCCTGGCTGTGCACTCGGGAAGCGTGACCCCAGCAAAGATTCTCCCTGTACTGAACCACGGGTCCCCCACGATCCTGGGCAAGCGAGGCTATGAGCAACACAACGGCATCGACGGTCAGTATCGCGTGCAAACCCCTCACTGGCGTTTAGAGACAATCGACCGCTCGTTGAAACCTGACGAGGCTTAATAATAAGCGTTCCTTCCACCCTGTTTACCCGGCAGGAGATAGGAACCCGGTTGTTAGTCGATTGGTTGGAGCGCTTTTCCGGGGGCAATAATTCCTTCAAACAGAAAAAAAATAACAATAATAATAATTGGGTCACTTCAATCCACGGCTATTTGTGGGGACGTCACTGGGCGCAATTGGCTACCGCGTTTCGTCCATAAAATACACTGCGTCACTAACACTTTACGGTGCATCCCACGAAGCGCTTTGAGACGTCTCGAAGACGTGATAAGGCGCAGTGTCAAAATGCCAGAGTTGTTGTTGTTCCGTGTATCGCTCTACATCACTGTCTGTTGGTCCTTGTTTACCAGGCACCATGAAGAAACGCCTGTTGATGCCGTTTCGGGGTAAGACTCTCGCACAGTCGTGCTCCCGCCTACACTCTCATCGTGAGTGCTTTGTGTTGTTGCTCTCTGCCATTTCCGCCCCCTCTCCCCCCACTTTCCTAACCTCCACAGCAACTATTTTGATAACTGTTAGGTGCCCCCTTCCAGCACAGACTGGGGAGGAGGCACCTGACAGACCTTGGAGAAGCTGTAATATATATTTAATTTGGTCACTCAATCCACGACTGTTTGTGAGACGTTGCTGTGAGCAATTGGCTGCCGTGTCTCTCCCACAGAGTACAGTCAATTCGCTTTACAGTATATTCTCGAAGACGTGATCAGACACTATTTCAAATGCAAGGATTATTATTATTATTAATTGACGCCCTCCAGTTACTAACTCACCAATCAGTGGAAATAGTTTCTCCCCAATTGACCCCATAATTATAAAGACCTCAATCAGGTCCACTCCTCAACGAACTTTTGTTCTAGAGGTAAAAGGGCCCAGTTGGCATTTGGGACGGTGGTGATGTGACTCATCCAAAAGATGGCCTCTTAATCCCAGCTCCTTGGCCTCTCTGCCCCACCCTTCCATCCTACATTCCCTTTGCCTCGCTCCCTCCCTCGCCTCCTTCAAGGCGCTTCTCAAATCCCTCTTCGACCGAGCCTTCAGCCACCCTCCTCCCCCCCACCCTCCTAACCCCACCTTCCTACCGCCTACGCTCCCTCCTCCCTGATCCCGACCTCCAGTTCGGGTCCGAATCCCTGACTGTCCAGCGCCTTGGGACGTCCTCCCGATGTGAAGGCGGCCGTGCAAATGTCATATGTTTTGTATTGTTGGTCTCGCAGTCCTTTGAGGTGGGAACTGAAGTGGTTTTGTGGTTGTTTTGGAGGATTATCGGTTGCAATTGTCCCAGCTTGTGTCTTGGTCACTTGCATAGTTTTTTTTTTGATCTTATTTCCTGTGCAATAATGGAGGCCACAAGGCAGTTACGCAGTCTGTTGCAAAAGAGTACCAGGTTCCCCATTAACTGCTGCAGCTGCTCCTTGTTAGTGTGTGTGTGTACATAATGGATGCCTCACAGTGAATTTGTGGAGTCCTGCAGCTCAGTGGTTAGAGCGATCGCCCCGCAAGCAAAGGAGAGGACCTGGGTTCGATTCCCAGGCGGGTCAGGTCGGCGCGAAACCTCAGGCAAGTTTCCTTACTCCACGTACACACACGTCTCTGTTTACCGAGCAATAAATCGGAAGCCGCTCGTTTGACAGTCGATGGGCGGATTGTTTTTCCGGCGGTAATAATCCCTTCATAAACCAAAAAAAGTTAGCAGTCACTCAATCCAAGGCTGCTTGTGGGGACGTCGCCGGGCGCAATTGGCTACCGCGTTTTTGCCCACAAAATACACAGTCACTACACTTTACAGTGTATCTCGCGAAGCACTTTGAGACGTCTCGACGACCTAATCAGGCGCTGTGTCAGATGCAAGGATTATTATTAGTGGTAATGTGATCGAACAGCCACTCACTGTACTGTGTACATTATGTGCTTATTGCTGGTTGTATCATGTTATCGTTGCTGTATGTGCGTAAGTCTGAACGGGACACAGTTCACCGTTGCCCGGGGAAACTGGAATAACTGAATGCTTTACATTTACACGGTGCCTTTCACGTCGGGAGGACGTCCCAAGGCACTGGTAGGACAGTCAGGGATTTGGACCCGAGCTGGGCTGGGGTTTGGGACCAGGAGGGCAGGGAGGGTGGGGGTAGGAGGGTGACCGAAGGCGCAGTTGGTTGAAGAGCGGGGAGGCAAGGGCGGGAGGGGGCGAGGCGGAGGGATTGGGGGAGAGAAATCCAAAGCTTAAAAGAGTCTTCGAAACCAGACTGAGAATTCCACGCATCAATACCCACACGAGGACACTTGCCCTGCGGCCGAAATGAAATGAATGTCCACTCTCTCCTCTGCTTGCCGAATTCCAGAGAGTCTTCAGCACAGGGCGGCGGGAGCCCCCAGAGTGTGGGTTGGGGGTAACCGCAGAATCTGCTCGTCAGCCGCGCTTTCATTCCCCAACTGTTCCCTCTCTGCTTTCCGTTCCGAGTTGATCTGCTGTCAGATCCAGACGCGGACACCAATTAATGCTTGTTATCTTTGCTTTCACATCCAGCTAATCACGGACAAGTCAGACAGATGGTAAGCACTTCTTGTTGGTGTGGCATAGAACCTTACAGCACAGAAGGAGGTCATTCGGCCCATCGAGCCTGTGCTGGCGCTTTGAAAGAGCTATCAATTAGCCCCACTCCCCCCGCTCTAACCCCACTAGCCCCACTTCCTCCCCCCCCCGCTCTTACCCCAATTAGTCCCCACTCCCCCACTCTTATCCCAACTAGTCCCCACTCCCCCCTGCTCTAACCTCAACTAGTTCCCACTCACCCCTGCTCTAACCCCAACTAGTCCCCACTGCCCCCTGCTCTAACCCCAACTAGTCCCCACTCCCCCCTGCTCTAACCCCAACTAGTCCCCACTCTCAACCCCAACTAGTCCCCCTGCCCCTGCTCTAACCCCAACTAGTCCCCACTCCCCCCTGCTCTAACCCCAACTAGTCCCCACTGCCCCCACTCGAACCCCATAGCCCTGCACACAGTGGAAATGTGGAACTCTCTTCCTCCCCCAAAAGGCGTTGGATTATGGCTGGATCCATTCACATTGTCCAGACTGAGGTGGAGAGATATTTATTAGGTCAGGGGATCGAGGGATATGGGGCAAAGACGGGTAATTAGAGTGGAGATACAGATCAGCCATGAATAGCGGAACAGGCTCGAGGGGCTGAATTGCCTCCTGTTCTTTTTTTATATATATGTATAAATAACTTCTGTGAGATCACCCCTCAACCGTCTAAACTCAAGGGACTGCAGGGGAAGTTTGTGGGAAGATGCTAACCTTAGTGCTGGCTTGTGTGTCAGGCTGCTGTGAACCGAGGCTATATGATCAACGGCAAGCCATACTCTCGGAGCTCGAAGATCCTGAAGCCCGGCTCCTTGCCACCCATGAAAGGGAGGAGGATGAACTGGATCGATGCCCCCGATGACGTCCTCTTTATAGCCACAGAGGAGACCAGGTGATTATTACTAAACCACCTTTACTGCCCTCTTTGCTGTGCGCAATTGGCTGCTGCTTTTCGCCCACAAAATATACAATAATTACATTTGTACAGCGCCTTTCACGTCGGGAGGACGTCCATACAGTCTCTGCACTTTACAGTAAATACTGCGAAGCGCTTTTAAGACGTCTGGAAGATGTGATTAAGTGCTGTATCAAATGCAAGGATTATTATTTATTTATATCCTTGTTATGTGGAGTCCCTGTAGCTCGGGTTAGAGCCCTCGCCTCGCAAGCGAGTGGACCTGGGTTCGATTCCTGGGCGGGTCAGGGCGAATCCTTACTTACTCCAAACACACACACACACACACGCGCCTCTGTTTACCTCGGTTATTAGTCAATTGGCGGATCACTTTCCTGGGGTAATAATTCCCCCCCCAAACAAGTTGGTTACTCAGTCGACGATTGCTTGTGGGGCGCACAATTGGCTGCCACGTTTCGCCCACAAAATGCACAGTCACTACACTTTGCAATAAGCGCTTTGTGACGTCTCGACGACGTGATAAGGCGCTGCATCACACGCCCAGATTATTATTATTATAAAAATGTTTGCTCTTTTTAAAGGAAAATCCGGAAACTGCTCGGGCCGGTGGACATGAAGAGGGCAGCCAGGCAGCCGTACAAGCAGATCTTCATCAGACAGGCCCGCGTCTCCTGCGCCGTGTCTCAGCCGTCTCGGCAGCCGGTGAACGAGGAGCCCATCATCATCGAGGACTAGATGGGGTGGGGGGGGGGGAGAGGGGCGAGAAGGAAATTTCAAGAGAAGAGGAAAGCCAGAGAAACTGTAGTCCCTGTTTATACTTGAACCTTCAGAGCTCCCGAACTAGACTGCGTGAGCCAGCGGCGAATGCTTCTCAGCCCAGCCCGATGCCTTCAGATCAAATCGGAAGGATTTATTATCTCGAGGACAGGATTAGGCTCCCCGTCCCCTTTCCGAGCGGATGGTACCAGTGGAACGAGAACGACTTGCAGTGAAACGCTCGCCCTCCCCTCCTCCCCCCCCACCACCACCACCACCATGTGGGTCTTTCTATTCCCCCTATTTTGTCGGTATCTTTCTCCCCCCCCCCCCCCTTCCCACCCCCCGTCCGCCCCCCCCGCCCTCGCGTACCTTACAGGAACCAGGAACTGTTTTGAGACTGACCAGCCTGTATCCTTCTCTCCTTTATTATTATTATTAATATTATTTTTTTTTCCTTTGTGTTCAGATGTTCCTCCGCTCCGGTTTTGCACTGCCAGAGGACGGAGCGTGTGTGTGTGTGTCTGTGTGTGTGTGAGAGCGTGTGTGTGTGTGTGTATGTGAGTGTGTGGCTGTGACTGTTCTCTTATTTTATTCCTTTTTTTTCCCCCCGGCTTGGTCTTGGTAAAGGTGTATATGGAAAAAAAAGATAATAACGGGCCGGGCGAGCGAACAAACGAGCAACGGCATAGAGAGAGAGCGAGAGAGAGAGAGAGGAAAAAAAATTGTCTGTCTTTTAAGAGTTTAAAGAGGTGCCATTTTTACCCTCAGTTTAAACACGTTTGTTTTTAAGGAAGAGTTGGCGTGCAGTTTAATGCAGTGCATTCTTTTGCATGTTATACTGTAAATTGTACTTTGATCCCATTGAAAAGGGTGTGTTTTTTTGCATACGGACGGACGACAGAGCGAGATAGAGAGCGCGCGCGCGGGAGAGAGAGAGAGAGAGAGAGAAAACTTTCTTAAGACTTTTTTTCATGTACGACCTGAAATCTTTTCATCACTTGAAATTGTTTATTGCAAGTTTCACAGTGAATAATTATGTACAAAATATTTTTCCATGTTTCTGACTCGGGTTATGTTTCAGAAGCCCTGATTTTCACAGTGAGATATATTACTATGACATCCCATAGGTTTAGCTCACTAATCTGTACATACACTGCTAATGTAGCTGGTAACTAGTGTTAATTCAGTCATTCCATAGGTTTTTTTTGGGGGGGGGAGGGAGGGAGGGAGGGGGTCAGCAGACGTTATGTTTTACTGATTCTCTTGGTTACAGTTTAAGAAGTACAGCGCCATTTGACTGGACAGCTCGACTTCACCGGTCACACAACTTTCAAAGGAATCTCATCCTTAGCCGTGCAAAAATAAAGGATCAACTCAAATCGTCTTCCGGTTATTTTCCTGCGCTCCCGCGATCCCCGTGAAGCGCTTGGCGCCGTCCCGGAGGCGGGATGAGGCGCCGCTGTGTCAGCGGTGCCAGGATTATTTCATTGTGGTCCCTCCGTACAAAAATAATAATAATAATAATAATAATAATAATGATAATTCGGCCGCTTTAACCCACGGCCGTTTGTGGGGACGTCGCTGGGGGCGCAAACGGCTGCCGTGTTTTGCCCGCAAATTACACAGTCACTACGCTTGACGGTGTATCCTGTGAAGCGCTTTGAGACGTCTTTGATAAGTCACTGGGTCAGGATTATTGCTGTGGGGGGCGGGGCGGCAGCTGTCAATCACTGTGTGGGGGGCGGGGCAGCAGCTGCCAGTCACGCGCTGACGTCAGACGAACGCACGCGGTGACGCCATGACGGAGGGACGCGGTGACGTATGACGTTCTGCCGTGTTCCCTCGCGGCGGGAGCGGGAGTCGGTGCAGCGCGAGGAGCGGAGCGGCCCCTGCGGTTCAGGTGCGGACACCCCCAGCGTTACCCCCAAACCCCCACCCCAAACTCCTCCTCCCCCTCACCCCCAAACCCCCCTCACCCCCAAACCCCTCCCCCCCCTCACCCCCAAACTCCTCTCCTCCCCCTCACCCCCAAACCCCCTCTCACCCCCAAACCCCTCCCCCCAACTCCTCCCCTCACCCCCAAACCCCTCACCCCCAAACCCCCCCTCCCCCAACTCCTCCCCTCACCCCCACTCGCCCCCAAACTCCTCCCCCCAACTCCTCCCCCTCACCCCAAACTCCCCCTCCCCCAACTCCCCCCTCACCCCCAAACCCCCCTCACCCCAAATCCCCCCCCAACTCCTCCCTCACCCAAACTCCCCCTCACCCCCAACTCCTCCACCCTCAACCCAAACTCCCCTCACCCCCAAACCCCCCTCACCCCAAACTCCCCTCACCCCAAACTCCTCTCCCAAACTCCCCCTCACCCCCAAAACTCCTCCTCCCTCATCCCCAAACTCCCCCTCACCCCCAAACTCCCCCCTCACCCCCAAACTCCCCCTCACCCCAAACTCCTCCCTCCCAAACTCCCCCTCATCCCCAAACTCCCCCTCACCCCCAAACTCCCCCTCACCCCCCAAACTCCCCCTCACCCCAAACTCCCCCTCACTCCCAAACTCCCCCTCACCCCCAAACTCCCCCTCCCCCCCAAACTATTATTTTATTATTATTGTTGTTGTCGGTACAGTCGCGGTTCACAGACACACAACACAACCCCTTCAACAAGAATTGGGGGGTGTGGGAGAGAGACAGAGAGACCGTCCTTCGGATGAGACGTTAAACCCCACTCACTCTCTCCCCGTCTGTGCTCTGTTCGGGGCGGACGCTGCAGATTTCACTGGGTGGGGGTGACGGGGTGGGGGTGGGGGTGGGAAGAGAAGGGAGTTCCTCTCTCTGGCTCTCCAGTGGTCCTGGGCAACAATTCGCTCTACCCCCCCCCCCCCCCCCCCCCACACACAGCTGTTTGCGGGGACGTCGCCGGGCGCAGTTGGCTGCCCCGTTTCGCCCACAAAACACACAGTCACTACACTTTAGAGCGAGTCCCGTGAAGCGCTTTGGGACGCCTCGACGACGTGATGCGGCGCCGGGTCAAACGTCAGGATTATCATTATTATTATTATTATTCTGTGGATTTCTTGAGCAATTGGTCACTCAAACCCTAACCCTGTGCGTTCTCTCTCTCCCTCCCTCCCTCCCTCTCTAACTCCCTCTCCTTCCCCCCCCCCCCCCTCTCCCCCTTCTCTCTCTCTCTCTCTCCACGTCGCATTGACAGCCTGGCCGGAAAAGAGCCGGTGGGGGAGGAACGGTGCGTGTGCGCGTGTGTGTGTGTGTGTGTGTGTGGTGGTGTGTAGTGGTGGGGGGGGGTGTGGGGGGTGGTCCCGGGGGGTGGCGTGTTGGAGGTGGAGGGGGAAGGGAAAACGATGGGAGCCGCGCAGCCTCTGTCCGCCCTGTCGCGCTGGTATCTCTACGCCATCCACGGCTACTTCTGCGAAGTCATGTTCACCGCCGCCTGGGAGTTCGCGATGCACTTCAACTGGAAGTTCCCGGGCGTGACGAGCGTGTGGGCGCTCTTCCTATACGGCACGTCCATCATGGTGGTGGAGTGCATGTACTTGTACCTCAAGGAGCGCTGCAACGCCCCCTTACGCTGCCTGATCTACACCCTGTGGACCTACTGTTGGGAGTTCTCCACCGGCTTCCTCCTGCGCCAGTTCAACGCCTGCCCCTGGGACTACTCCCAGTTCGACTACGACTTCATGGGGCTGGTGACCCTGGAGTACTTTGTGCCCTGGTTCTGCGCCTCCTTCGTGGTGGAGAAGATGGTGATCAGGAACACGCTCAGGCTGCGCTTCGACCAGAGCGGGGAGTCTCCCCCGGCCTCGCCCTCGCTCGCCCCCCTGACCGTGTGGGACCAGGGCAGGTCGCGGAAGAGGGAATGAGCCTCGTTTCCCCCCCACACCCACAGCCCCGCCCTGCCCTGCCTCGTAACAGCACTCGGAAACCACCCTTAGCCCCTCCCCTAACCACACCCATTAACTTGTTAGCCCCGCCCCCTGACCACACCCCAAACCTGCCCTTAGCCCCACCCCTAACCATAATCTGAGCCCCGCCTCCAACCACACCTTCTGCCCACCCTTAGCCACACCCTTTGCCTCTGCCTCTCCCCACCCCCAGCGCTCTCTCTCTCTCTCGATGGCTGAGCTGTGTGTGGGTTTAGTTGGTTAGACTCCAGCAGTTACCCCAACACACCTGCTCCCCCACCCCACACCCCGAGCCTTGGCTCTCCCCAACCTGCGCCTAATACTCTCTGGAATTAGGTAAACAGGGGGCGTTCCTTCAGGGAGAGAGAGAGCGCATCCCATCCCGACACTCTCTCTCTGGGGTTCCCGGGTGTGGAGGGGATGTGGGGAATTCTCAGTCGGGTTTGGAGACTCTTAAGCCACAGTGACGGGTTTCCATGTGTGTGTGTGTCAGACACCCGACCGGTCACGGTGACGGGTTTCCGTGTGTGTCAGACACCCGACCGGTCACGGTGACGGGTTTCCGTGTGTGTCAGACACCGACCGGTCACGGTGACAGGTTTCCATGTGGTGTCAGACACCCGACCGTC